GACGCGTTTGAGGTGATGGAGGGCTTGCTCGCATTCCTCTGTCCATTCGAACGTGGCCTCTTTTCTGAGCAATTTGAAGAAAGGGAGGGCATGTTGTGCGGACTTGGCGATGAATCGGGAGAGCGAGGTGTGTACGCCGTTGAGGGATTGTATAGACTTCTTCGAGGTGGGTGTGGTGATTTCCGAAAATGCGCGGCACTTATCCGGATTTGCTTCGATCCCACGCTCGGTTAACTAGAAGCCGAGGAATTTTCCTGCGCGGACCCCGAAGGTACATTTCTCCGGGTTGAAGCGCATTTTGCATTTCCTCGCTGTGTCGAAGACCTTTCTGAGATGGGTTGTATGGTCGACTTACGTGTAGGACTTGACGATCATGTCGTCCATATACACCTCAAGCATGTCGCCAATCTCTCCTCGGAAGACTTTGTTCATCATCTGTTGGTATGTGGTGTCGACGTTCTTTAGGCCGAAGGGCATTACATTGTAGTAATAGTTGCCCGACTCCGTCATGAAGGTCGTGCTTTGTTTGTCGCGTTCGTCCATGGGGATCTGGTTGTATCCCGAGTGCGCGTCCATAAAGGACAAGAGTTTGAAGCCCGCCTAGTTGTCGACGAGCTTGTCGATGTTGGGGAGGGGGTAGGTGTCCTTAGGACATGCCCGGTTGATATCGGTGTAGTCAACGCACATGCACCATTTCCATTACTCTTTTTAAAAAGTACAACATTGGACAGCCAGGTTAAATACCGGGCTTCCGAAATAAAATTTTCCTTAAGGAGGTCTTTTACAACTTTTTCAGCCGCCGCCGATTTTTCAGGGGACTGTCTACGCCTACGTTGTACTACAGCCTTGGCGGTCGGGTTGATGGATAGCTGATGCTAGGAGACCTCGAGGTCAAGTCCGGGCATTTCCGCGGCCCTCCAAGCGAAGAGATCAGCGTTCTCGCGGAGGCAAGCCTTCAGTTGTTTCCTCGCCAGGTCGGGGAGTCCTGCTCCGATCTTCACGGTTCTATTCTCGTCGTCCCCGAGGGTCACAATCTCGAAGTCACCGTCTGGGATGGGGCGCGCTGGGTGGGTGGTCCTCCCGTTGGATGTAGGAGCGTCGCTGGCTTCGTCTCGCGGTCGGGCTCTTCAGTGAAGCGGCTGTCGAGGTCTACTAAGCCGACGAGCTCCTTGGGTTCGCTCTTCGGAGTCGTGGTGGGCGCTACTTTTTTGGTTGTCGGGGCGATGGTACTTAGTCCTTTCAGCGCGGCCTTGAAGCATCTACGGGCAGCCTCGATGTCGCCATTTAGGGTGACAACGGTTCCCTGCCTTGTGTAGTATTTCATTTTTAGGTGGACGGTGGAGGGCACAACGGTGAGTTCTGCCATGGTCGTCCTGCCCAGGATACAATTGTAGAGGGACGGGCATTCGATGACCAGGAAGCGGATATTGACCTCCCTGGCCGTTTCCTTCTCCCCGAAGGTGACTTTTAACCCCACGTACCCCCACGGTCTCGTCGTCATCCCGTTGAACCCTTGGAGGTCAGAGCCCATGTAGGGGGACATGTTGGATTCGTCGAGTTGAAGGGTCGTAAAAAGGTGGGTGTACATGATGTCCACCGAGCTTCCGCCATCGACCAGGATGCGTCTAACGTCGAAGTTTGCCATCTGTGTCCATATCAGTAGGGGGATGTTTGAGTTGGGGGAGCCCCCGGGAAGCTCCTCGAGGTAGAAGGTGATCGGGTTGGATCGGCCACGAAATTTGTCGAGGGTGCTCATTTTTCCAGAGTTGTTGGTGATGAGTTCCTTGAACTTTCTCTTTATCGATCCTACGGATAGGTTCCTCGGGGATCCGCCGGAGATGACCATGGCCTTCGGAAAATATTCCCATCGACTGGTGGGGAGCACAGGCTCGTCGAGAAGATCAGGTCTGTCGGGGAGGCCGAATTCTCTATGCACGAACCAATCCTCAGGTCGGCTGACGCAGAGGGAAACCTGCAGACCGTTGTCACCGTCAGAAGAGGGGAGGTCTTCGACTCTCTTGGCCTCGGGGGCGTCTTATCGCGGGGCTTCTCCTCCCCGGGTGTATCTCTTCAGATGGCCATCCTTGATCAAGATTTCGATCGCGTCCTTGAGGTGGATGCAGTCTTCTGTAACGTGCCTGTGGCTTTTATGGAAGCGGAAGAACTTCAATTTGTCCACGTTGGGCTTGGGGGGTGTCGGCCTGGGGAAGCGGACACCTCCCTGGACAAACTCTGTTTTGGTGCATTCGGTTAGTATGCGCTCACGGGAAGCGATTAGGGCCGTATACTCTGTGAATCGGTCGGCTGGACCGCGCTGCTCGCGTTGTTCGCGGGGACGATCCTCCCATCGGCAATCTCCTTAGCGCCGGTGGCTCGAGGCTCCATCCTCTCGGGGCCCGCGGGGGTCTCTCGATCTCGTGTGTCCCGGGCGGAGTTGGCCGCTTGAGTCTCCTCGAATCGGATGTAATGCGCGGCTCTGTCGAGGAAGTCTTGTAGAGAGGCTGGTCGGTGTATGGCCACTGCTTCGTAGAACTTGGAGTCTCGGCGCAGGCCTTGCTCCATCAAGTAACGCTTCATCTCGTCTGACGTCGTTACCTGTACTGCCTCCCGTGTGAACCTTTCGATGTACTTTCGGAAGGGCTCGTCAGGAGCCTAGATTATGGTGCCCAACGCGGCTTCCGTCTTCGGATGGCGTCGGAATGCCGTGAAGTGTCTCGCAAAGAGGTCCTTCAAGACCCTCCATGACGTGACCGTTTCTGGCTCCAGGCTTTTGTACCATGTCATGGAACCTTTCCTCAGTGTCGTCGGGAATAGTCTTCATTTGATAGCTCCCCGGACATTTCGGTAGTCGAGCATGGCCTCGATGTCTTCCAGGTGGTCGTCCGGGTTGGACGTACCATCGTACGTCGAGAGCGTCAGGGGTTTTTACATCCCGTGGGGGATGGGAGCAGCCATGATCTCTCGGGACAAGGGGGTCCTGTAGTCGTCCTCATCACTGAGAGTTGGTGATCGAGGGGGGGATGGCCCATTTGGCGGAGGTGCTTGATTTCGTGCCCTCGGCCTCCTAATCGGAGGTTCGACCCTCAGAGGTCTGGTCGGGGGATCCCCCCTGGTTGGCCGTCGCTCCCAGACTTGTCTCGTGGGGGACCTAGTCCGTTCTCGTACTAATTCGGGTTGGGGCCTCTCTAGCCGGGGTCGTCAATTCCGGGGGCGAGGATATGGACTCCTTGAATTTCCGTTCTGGTCTTCCCGCGGAGGGGACCTCAACGGGGCTTCGTGCTCTAGCGCGCCAATTTGTGCGTTCTGTTGGAACAACAACTGATTTGTTTGGTTGATGGCCGCGAAAAGGGCGGCCACTGTCGGGTCTGCTCCGACCGGGACAGGGATGGGTTGGAACGCTGCTGGGCTCCTTGGTCGGAGAACAGTCTGATGAGCTGCTTCCGCGGACGAGGGAGAGGCAGTCTGGTCGTCCCTCTCATCGGTCTCCGGAGGTTGGGACGTCTCCGTTTGCTTGCCGCCGTTCGCGGCAGGAGCGAGGATGAAGTCGTGAATGGCATCGTCGTGGTGTGGGCTAGCCATGATCGTGGAATGTTGATGAAAACTTTGGTTCTCTGCTCGGAGGAACGGGGAAGTTTTATGTTCCCACAGACGGTGCCACTAATCTGACCTGATCAGAAGGGGGGTCGCTGACTGCCACGCGTCTTCGACTTATTGCCAGTTCACCGGTGTTGAAGAAGAGGAGGGGCGTACCTATAAGGCACTCCGATGCTAAAGTAAGTGTATGGGCAGAGTGATCACAAGTACAGAAAAGGGGTAAGAATCGAATTACCTGACCCTCTTGTGGAAGAGGGTATTTATAAAGAGACCCCAGCGCTGGGCCAACGGTCACTTGCGTTGGGCTGGATTGTCAAGCCCAACCCAGGTGACTGCTAGGGCTTACGTGGCGTAGTGAAGACCAGGACGTGATCTTCGCCCTAGTCCAACTGTCTCGTGATCTCCGGAAAGTGGGTTTGACCTGCTCTTTCGGAGGTGGGCAGTTGGTCGGTGACGTGTTCCCGCGGAGGGACACAACCTGCCCGCCGGGGACTCTGTGCTCGACGGCTGTGGCTCAAGCTGGACTGGGTTTGGCAGAATATTATTGGGTTGGACCTGTCCGATCAAGCCGGGGCCCAGGCTTTATTAATTTTTTTTACAAAAAAAAATTAATGAGTAATGAATATGACTATATTATTAATAATATTTATTAAAATATTTGTTAGTTATTAATTATATTAATTTAAGAGTTTTTTTCAAATACGATTTCACTAGTATATACAAATCAAATCCATGAGAAGCCATACCATGATACCTCCTCTTTCATGGTGTCCTATTGTGGGAGAAATATTTGCATCAAAACATACTTAAATCCATATTCTTATAAATATCTAACAAGAGAGAAAATTTTATTTTTCATTTTTAATTAATAAAAAAATTATGATTTACTATAATTTCCCATTTTTCATTTTTAATTAATAAAAAAGTTATGATTTACTATAATTTCCCATTGTAGAGGATGCAGCTGTCACACTCGACCAGGTCCAACATAAACCCCCAACTATTGAGCTTAGGTGGATGAAAAACTATGGTTGTGATAAGTATATTCATTACTTTATTACTTTCTACTCTGCTTCATTACTTTCTACTCTGCTTCATTACTTTCAGCAAGATTGTTATTGTTAGCTACAATTCTTGAATTATATAAGTTGTACTTTTGAACCGAATGGTTGTGATAAGTATATTCATTTCTGAAATTTCTGGTTTCTTCTTCTAAACTAATATTAGAGTTTTATGTAACTCAACGTTATAAAATAGACTTGTACGGAGTTATATTTTGTCATATCATATATATATATATATATACAATGTGTATCAAAAGTTTATTAAAATAAATACGTAAATATCCATAAAAAATATTTCTTAAGACAAAAGAAAAACTGTTGCCAAATGCTCCATATATATAATCAAGGTTGTCCAAGCAGAGAAGGCCTGTAGAATGCATGACTTTGTGCAATCTCAATACGTTCACGGGGATCATTCATATTTTCATCCCTCAGAGCTTGGAGAATAGCTTTTGTTGATAGCTCCCTGAAAAATATAAGGGATACATAGTAATATAGATATATGAGAAGACAGTGTCATGTCAAACATCCAAGATTCAAGCTAATGGTTACAGGAAAATACCTGGATATTAATATTTTATATAGTGTCTTCAAAATTGGGCAGAGCTCAACTGGAGCAACTGGCTTATTTTCTCCAGGGTGCAACACATTCAAGCTTGATTGGCTCAAAAGTTCAAAGAATGCCTTGACTGCAGACACACCCTGCAAACATAAAATAGCAGTCAATTTTTTTTCTCCTTTCATTATTTGTTTAGTCAGAAGAATTTGAATCAAGATAAAATGTTGACTATGGCAGAGTTGAAAATTTACCATTTATGTATAGAACCAACTAAGTAGAAAAACACTAAAATACCTGAATCATTCCTTTGCCTCTTATGCTGTCACCCATGTCTGGACTTAGTTCACCCTTAGCCAGCATCTGGCCATACCATGCATTCCGACCTTTCAACAAAGTCACATAAGTATCGGCCAATAATGGTCCGGCGAGTTTTTCAGGTTCTTCCGCCAACAAGTGAGTGATAAATATCATCTCTGATGTACAGTGTGCAAAATATACAGATTTGCTGGTAGCACTCTCATTGGTAAGGGCTGCTACCATTCCTGACATCAATAAGAAACAAAAGACAAATATATATTGTAATTCATCAACAAAATGTATGCTATGAAAATGGAAAAGTTAGTATTTGTTGTCAGTCCCGAATAGCGGTGCAGGGTGGACAACTCTAAAGTTGTGAACGCAGGATAGTGCGTTGAAGCTGATTAACAAAAGCTAGAACTTTCAAACATATATCTTAATCACCTATGGTTTCTCAACTATTTTTCCTTACTTAAACAATTATAACATAGAAAAGAATTGATAATACAAATAGTATAGAAGCTTACCAGCACCAATTGCATAAACGTTTTTCAAGCCACCCATGACCTCATGGGTAACAAGGTCACTATTGTCCCAAACAATAAAATGTGGTTGTCTGAGAAACTTTGCCAGAGCCTTTCTCCATTTCTCAGCACCACATATTCTAGCATTTGCATACTCCTTGTGGTAGATTTCTGATGCAATATTTGGACCACCAAGATAAAGTATGTTTTCCATTGGAACTCCAGCTGTGAAAGTATACATTTTCAAGAGTTGAAATCTGATTAAAATGTGCAAACAGAGAATCAAGCAAAACAATAAACATCCTTTAGAGATGAAGAAAACTCTTACTTGCTTTGTGAATCATTTTTGTTGGAGTAATAATATGCGGAACAGGCTCCAACGCAGCCTCTATACCCTTTGACAAAGAGATAATTACAGGAACTGTGATTCTCTCCTTCCAATATTTACTAATCTCTTCAAAAATCTCCCTTGTTTCGGTCGAAGGCAATCCATTGACAACAATATCTGCATCCCAAACAGCTTCCTGCAAGTTTGTGACAACCTTCAAAGGACAAATCGGTGTATCAATCATATTCAAACAAAAACCATCTTTGAGAATCTCATCGGCAAATAATGTCCTATCACCAAGCCTTGCCTCGACATATTTCAAATAAGCACAACGCAGAATCAACCTCCTCAACACATCTTCTCTAGAGTTGATAACTTCAAACAAATACTTCGCAGTTGCTTTATCAACAACCTTTAATGGCCTCCTCCATATCCTGATTTGTACCTTGTCGCGAAACTGACCATAACTGTCTTGCAACAACGCTGCAAAAACACTCCCCCAAGCACCAGCTCCTACACTAACAATCCTTAATGGATCACCATTAGCCTTACAAAGAAGGCGACGAAGATCATCAAGCTTCTCTTCTAAACCATTGCAATTTTGAACAGATCCATTTGAGTCTGAATTACTAACTACACCCATAATGCTACCTCACCAAGCTCTAAAACCCAAGAATGAAAACAAGGCTTGTATAAAAAAAACTCACAACTTTGTTTTCTCCGTCTAGAGTTTGTTGATCTACCCCAACAGAAAACAACACTAGAAAACACACAAACACAATTTGTAAGATACGTGTTGGGAACTACAAAGTTAGCATAAAATTGAATTCTTTAAATGTGAGGAAGTGGCTTTGTTGAAGGAAATGCCGAAAAGATGAAGACAGAAAACAAAAGGTTAGCATCGATGTGAGAAAGACGGTGTTAGACTTATGTGTAGGAAACCCTAGATCTAAAATAAAATAACTTTTCTTCTTCTCATTACCGATAAAAGGTTACAAATATATACTCTTTTCAAATTTTACCCTCATTTATTCTCCTACCCCTATATTATATATATTTTTTATTAAAATATTATCGTATAAAAATTATAAAAAAAATTTAATTTAATTATTTGATCCAGAATTTAATAAATAAATTTATTTTTAAAAACTACTTTATTAATATTCTCAACAAACATGGTAAGTATTATCTATATTTATTATATAATCTTATAATATTTTCATCAAAGATTTTTCGCTAAATTCTTTTTTAATTAATTAATTAATTATAAATATATTTATGATTAACTCTATCATTTAAAACTTCCGACTAAGTCACATTCTTATATTTTAAATAATTATTAATTAACAAATACAATAAGAGATATCGTGAATTTTTTTAAAGTGCAGACACCTATCAATAATATATTTACCATAGTAACTATCCAGCATAATTTTTCTCTTCATTCTATTAATTAATCTTTTATTATTAATAATTAAATATTATTAATATTAGTTAAATAATAATTAAATTAAAATATTTAACATGATTATTTCTCAATTTTCTCTCCACTCAACCCTCTCTATTTATATCATACAAACAATTAACATTTCTCTAACCCCACAATAATAGGACATATAACAATATTAAATTTAAAAAAATAAATAAATTAGACATCTTAAAATTACTTAATACAAAAATAAAGGCAAAGATTAAACTAATCATAATGCAAAACTTTATTTTATTTTTTATTTTCTATTTTTCTTACTATTTCTTTGATTACTCTTGTTTTTTCTTAACTTTGTCTTCTTTTTTTTTTTAAACTTCAAGAGCATTTTTAAGTTTTTTTAGTAATTTTAAAAAGTTTTAGTGATAACAAAAATTTTCTTCTATTAGTTTATTAATTTCAAAGTTTATAGTTAGAAATTTTAAATTCTTATGATTAGTTGGTCATGTAGACGAATAGGTGGTAGTTCTGATTGAGGCTGAAAGATGGTATGGTATTGTTGAAGAATATTGCAAACTTATCGGTGTAAATTGGTGGGTAGGGTGTCTTCCGCGGAAGTTGAAAAAACTGGTGGGGATGGTTTATAAGGTTGAAAAGTCATTAAGTGGAATGACGAGACAGAACTGGGGTGGGTGAGGTGGCTCAATTGGTGGAGGCTAGTATGAGTAGGTTGGGAATTGGGGTCGCCTTTTAAAGTAATTGATTTGTCTTAATGGATAAAAGTAATAGAAGGTATAGAAAAATCTGTCTGAATTTGGCCTAATGTACGTAACCAAGTCATGCGTAAAACAACATAGGCGCCTTCGATTGGTAGTAGATAGAAAGGAATCGAAAAAGGTTTGTTCTGTAGGCATAATTTTACGTTCTGACAAATACCTTCACATTGTAAGTGGGATTCGTAGCCTACCATGACTGAAAATCCTTGGTTGCAAAATGTTGTGGGTACTGCCAAGATCTACCAAAACCATGTCCGTAAGGCCGCCGATAAGGCCTTTAAACATGGGTTTTTGGGGAGAAACCGCCGATAAGGCGTGTAAGGCCGCCGATAAGGCCTTTAAACATGAGTTTTTTGGGAGAAAAATGACTCGCCAAAGCCTGAGTGGATAATTGAATATTTGTTTTTTGAGTTTTGATTCGATGAGTTTTGCAAGCCCAATGGCTTGGGTAATGGATGTGGGTTTATGAATGGTCATCTCACGACGAATCTCTATTTTAAGCCCAGATATAAAACAATTTAAGATAGCATCTTGTGGTAAACCCACGACTTGGTTGCCAGTTTTTTCAAATTGAGCTTGGTATTCCACAATCGAACCTTCTTGTTGGAGTTTGAAAAACTCAGCTTGATGGTTAGCATAAGAAAATGGACCAAAACATAATTCTAATGCTTTAGTTAAAGAGATCCAATCGGTTAGGAACAAACTCTAATGCATCCATTTAAACTAGCCCAAAGCCTCTCCTTTCATATAAAATGATACTAAAGAAAGGCGATTCTCATGTGGTAAATTATAAACACTGAAAAACGGTTCAGCTTAACAACCAATCCAAAGGATTTGTACCATCAAACATAGGTAATTCAAGTTTTTGGGTACGAAAAGGTGGTAGCGGTGGAATATGCAGTATAGGTGGGTAAAGTGGGTTCTGGAAATTAGGGATTTGATAATTTGGAGAATGCTGAAAAAATGTTTGGGTTGACACGTTAGGTGTAAAATGGGGTGGGGGTTGGGCTGAGGTATTCTGCATAGTTGTGAGAACAGGTTGTGCAGGTGGATTTGGGACATAGCATTATAAAGGTGAAAATGAGCAGTTTGGACAGCTTCTTCCACAATATCTTTTGATGAAGGATTGTTTGGTTTGGGAGGAGCCATGAGAACAAGCCAATGAAAGCACCAATTTATTAGGCTTATGTGTAGGAAATCCTAGATTTAGAATTGCATATAAAGACAATAAAATAAAACAACTTTTCTTCTTCTCATTACCAATAAAAGGTTACAAGTATATAGTCTAGCCACATGGGTTATGGGCCTAATAACTAGAGTAAATAAAAGACGCCTTTTATAAAATTTAATAATAGAACACTCTAATATAAAATAAAGTCTTTGAGGAGAATAGATGTTTTTTTTCTAATGGGTCTTGGATCTCTCTTAATAATACTATTGGCCCCGAAAAGAACCTTGTCCTCAAGGTCCTGAATGGAAGATGGATCATGGGCCTATGGTGAAGGGACAGATAAATGGGTTTGAACTGGGTCTACGGAATTATTTGTAAGGTTTGGGAGGGGGCGTGGATCGGTTTTATGAGTGATGTGGGTGGTGCTTTCGAGACTAGGGATATAAGATTTGGCAGGATTTTCTGAAATGTGAGTAGGGGAGTAATTATTATTAGTGGAGTTTGGTGATTCACGAGGCATTGAAGAAACAAAAGGGTGTGTGTTGGAAACAGGCGCACATGGGTTAATGAGACGGTCTTTGAGGAGTGTGTGGGATAGTGGTCTATTTTGGAGGAGAAGAAGCGAGGGGAAAGAGAAAAAGAAAATGAGACGGTCTTTAGGGAGTGTGTGGGATACCGTCTTCCACACCCGTGTTTTTCTTTGCATGTCGTCCTCATCCTTCGGTTGTGGTAGAGCGTCTTCCTTGTTCATCGAATCGGAGCTGTTGAGTTGTGGATGGGGTTCTTTATGTGAAAGTTGCGTTTTCAACGGCGTGTGGAGGGGGATCTCATAGGAAGGTGGATCATGATAAGGTTTCAAAAGAGACACGTGAAAAACCGGATGAATCCGTGAAGAAGAAGGAAGATCGAGCAAGTACGCGACCTCTCCGACTCTTTTGATTATTGTAAAAGGTCCAAAGAATCGTTTCTCAAGTTTCTGAGATGTTCTTTTCTGGATAGTGGTTTGGCGATCGGGTTGGAGGTTTAGCAAGAACATATCTCCTACCTTGAAGGTAACCTCCCTTCGTTTTTTATTCGCTTGCTTCTACTTCTTTTTTTTTCCTGCTTTGCTTTAAATTTTCTTGTAACTGACTAAAATTTGTTGTCTTTGTTGCCAGGAGACGTTTAAGTCTTTTGTAGAGACGGAACCAGTCACGTACTCAAGGATGTTTAATGGGTCACGTCCATAAAGTGCCTTGAATGGGGTCATTTGGATCGCAGAATGGAAGGAAGTGTTATACCAGAACTCTGCAGAGTGTAAAAACTTAAACCATTAATAAGGATGGTCGCTGGCTAAGCACCTGAGCTAAGTCTCCACCGATCTATTTACGACTTCTGTTTGACCGTCAGTTTGTGGGTGATAAGTTGTGCTGTAATTTAATATAGTACCCTGGGCTTTGAAGAACTCTTTCCAGAAAGAGTTGAGAAATAATGGATGTCGGTCTGAAATGATGCTTTTGGGGACACAATGGAGGCGAAAAATCTCAATAGTAAAATGAGACATCATGTATTTTGCCGTGAACTTGGATGGAAGAGCGATGAAATGGACGAATTTGGTCAGTCTATTGTAGACCACCCAGATTACCGTATGACCGAAAGAGCTTGGCAAATGAGTGATAAAGTCCATGGTAAGTTCATCCCATACTTTATTAGGAATGGGTAAAGGTTGTAGCATGCCTCATTTCTTTTGTGTTTCATATTTGTTACGTTGACAACTGTCACACTGCTGAATGAATTGCTTGACTGTTTTTGCTATTCCAGGCCAACAAAAAGATGATGTGATACGAGCTAGAGTAGCCCGCGTTCCAGAATGTCCTACTTGGGGGTGCTATGAAATTCAAAAATCAGGCTGGAACGTAAGTTAGAAACATCTGGAATGAATATTCGCACTTTGTAGTAAATTAACCCTCTTGAAGACTTGTATAAATTTCTGATGTTTTGTTCCTGTGTGACTCTCTGCACTAGTAGCTTTCCGACATGATAATTTTCATAGAATTTTTGAAGAGTTTCAAGGAGTTCAGGAGTTGTTGAAGTCAAAGCTAGTAAGAGAGATGCATCAGTGCAAAATTTCCGGCTCAAAGCATCTGCGACCTGATTGGATCTGTCACGTTTGTAGAAAATTTCAAAGTTAAAACCTTGTAACTTTGATGCCCATTTTTGCTGTTCTGGTGTTTGGATTTTTTGTAACAATAGATCTTTCAGACTCATTTGGTCAGTGTAGATATGGAATT